ATCTGTCGGGAAGGTAGAAGACATCTCAGCATCAGGCGACCTCACCACGACACAGAAGTGGGAGCAGATACACAGGCTATCAACGAAAATTGATCAACTAGTTAGTACAGGGAGTTTCACCTTGGTGTGGACATATGTACGTGAGAAGGACAGGAAGACAGCCCGACAAGAAATGGACTGAACACATAAACTTGGCCAAGAATCCAAATAGAAGAGCACAGCGGAAACTATACAGTTGGCTGCACAAATTTGGTTGGGAGAAATATGTTATGATACCCATTTGGACGGGAGTGAAATCAAAGGTGATAGGGATGAAAGCAACACTGATTAGGAGCCTGAATCCATTCTTGAATACAAGGGGAAAAGGCAGAAAGACTCGAAAAAACCGAAGATGAAGAAAGAGAAAGAGGAAGAAGAATGAAAACAATGAGGTGAATCAGAATATACCTGTTTCGTTTAAATCGGTTCGATCGGGTTACACTACGAAGGTAACATCAATACTTCAACCGAAAACAATGATTTACTACATAATTGGAAAACTATGGAATGGAAAATGGAAAGTAATTAAACGAACATTCGGATCAACAATTGCGGAAATTGACAACACAAAGTTCCAGCTAAAAAAATGCAGAAAACGAATCGAAAATGGATGTATCTTCTATGTGATCCAACTGGTGCATACGAGACCGAAAACAAACAAACGTATAAATATTTTGATTAACTGCTTGAGGGCACCATGGAGATGGAGGGAACTGTATAAATTATCGTTAGATGATATACTGATTTTTCTGTCAAAGGTGGGATCGATTACCGGAAAGAAGCAAAAACAAACAATTAAAGACACATTCACACGAATTTCAAAGAAAAAGTTTGCATTCAATATCAAGAGAAGGATGATATTTAAGATTTCATTTAATGCATGCATTAATCTGAAGCAAGTGAGAAACAAAACAACCGAGTCTATCTTGAAAAACATAAGTAATAACAATTTGGCAAACGATTTGACAACTCGGATGCGTGTGATATTTAAAAAATCAAAGACAGTCGGGGAAATATTACATAATCACAGACAGGTGCTTACACAAGCACCGGACTGTAATTGTGCAGTATCCCGGCTTCTAAAAATCGAGAACCACATTGTCTGCAGATTAAGTGAAATCATAGAAAATCAGCTCTTATGGAATGCAAAAAACGTACCCCATATGAACGAAAGAATTGGAAAGGAAGAAATTAAAAGGACAATCATCACTACCATTGCAAGTATACCACGACTAATAAGGAATAAAAGAGAAATTAAAATAAATGTCTCTACTTGCATCGAAAAGAATAATGATATGGGGATTTTTCTTCACATATTAGAAGTATGGGAAGTAAAAAGAAGATTGACACAATGTATCTTATCACCATTGGACATAAATTCTGGAGAAACTTTTGTGGAATGCCGTAAAATCTGGTACGAGAAGATCCGAAAATTCTTTCCGGAATCGAATCACTACGAAATTATACAACAAACGGAATCTGAGATCACTTAATTGGCCAAAAATACGTATCATGGATGTGGGCTGAAGAAAATCGCAGAATGGGATGAACAGGGATCATACGAAAAAGCGTATACAATTAAAAAAAACAAGGACGTCACCAGACGCCGACCAATTGTGTCGACATATAAGGAGTCATCTCGAAAAGCATCGAAGGTACTATCAAGAGCTATCAACTTCATGTGTCAAGCATTGAAAGTTTGTTTCTCACCAAAAGGAACGAACCAACTACCACCTAGACTGAAGAAATGCAATCAAGTAGCAAAAGAAACATACGGGGATATGGCTACGATAATCTGCTCCCATATACGATGTCAAAGATATGTTTTCGATCCTCGATCACACACATATCTTAAACATCATGCAATGGATGATGAAAACGGCGAAAGAAAAATGGAAAACCCACTTTTGTTACAAGATGAGAGGAAAGTACATGAACTTTGAAAAAGCAAACGGAACCTATGGATGGAAAACATTAAAAATTGACTGCCTAATGGATCTGTTGTACTATGACATCAAAAACGCATATTTCAAACTTCAAAGTACAAGCAACATTATTATGCCAAGTAATGGGGATACCAATGGGGAAGGGCTCTAGCCCACCCATTGCCAACATGGTATGCGCATTCGACGAGTACAGATGGTGTGCGCTGATGAGGATCTTATCCACAATATGAGTTTTGTGGACGATGTAATGATGATCATAATAGCAAGTAAGGAAGATCAAACGAAAGAGTTGGAATGTCGAAAATATTTTCAAACATGCTACCACCAATCTCTAAAACTTGAAATCATATCAGACAACGCGAACACGGAATGAACATATCTGGAAACAAGGGTGACGAAATAAATCAATGAACAGAATCATAAGATATGATGAAAGTAGCTCCAGATTGAAGGCATGTTGGAAATCGACGACGACAAGGACAACACAGAGAGCGACTGCGGGAGATCCTGAGGATAGATGATGAGTACACTGCAAGGATAGGGAAAGTGGCGGAGAAGGACTGGGAACGAAGGGTAGAAATAATGAGGATAGTGACTGAAATGATTACCTGAGCAGTGAGGTAGAAGGGCAATCGCGACTGATCTCGGATACCATGGATATTACGTGTATGCTGTGAAAGTAAAACCTCGCATGTTCTTTCTACATTTGCATGTGTTTATCTTTTTTTTTTTTTTTTTCTCTCCTTCTCTGGTAGCCCCCCCCCTCCCTCTCTCTCTATTTCTTTCTCTCTCTCACACTCAGAACAATAAATGCAACAAACTCTCTCTCTCTCTCTCTCTCTCTCTCTCTCTCTCTCTTTCTCTCTCTCTTTCTCTCTCTCTCTCTCGTGTTAGCTCTTAGTCTCATTGATTTGACTACCTTAGGGCTGCGTTCCCCGCGCCCACGTGGTAGACAATTTTATTTTTTAAGGTTGGACAAAGGTTGCGGTTTGTGTAGCTAAAGCGTAAGGTATGAGCACAAAGAGTAGTTGAAGTTGACCCCGTGTAGTACTCTTACTTTTTGTTGAATCTTTAATGTGATTGCAGGTATGTTTGTGGTTCACACTATGGATTTGACTATTTGCAATCACATTAATATGGTTGAAGGAGGTGACAATGTGATTGTGAGAAGTGATCATCTCGTATTTATAACCCTCTATATGTTTATATCTCAAGTGTTCACGCGACCTATTGCAAATGCGTGTGAGAGTTGAGTTTATTTTCGCAGTTGAAAGAAAAGGGGAACCCATTTTTTTCTTTTGCTTTTTATAATTATTACAGTTGGACATTGGAGTCTGTGACAACTGTCAAAGTCAAACCCCTTGACTTCTCTCTAGACCCTGGATATCGGAGTTCGTCTTCAGGGTGATAAAACTCGACTGCCACAACAGGGAGGAACATGTGTGCCACCCACTCTGTGATGGGTGCAGAAGAGGGTGTGGTTTTCAACCGCCTTGGTTGTCTAGCGTCGAGATATTAACCCCTGAAGGCGCATGTCAGCCAACACTTGAGTGTCGAACGTGACCCTCGAGACAATTGAGGGTCACATGATTATGGGTATTATATAGTATTCCATCGTTGGGACTGCTTGTTTATTCATGCATGATCAGTCGATATGAGAAAGTCCTGCATCTGAGTAGTTTTATCACAAGTCTCACGCACGATGCCTAACTGATTTCCGTGTTGAAAGATTATGGGTTAGATACTAAAGGGACTAAGAGTGTTTTGTTTGTGTGAGTAACTTGATTCTATGTTTTTGGCGTGGTGTAACGCGTGGTAAGGAGGCATCCTAGTCGATCGACGACGAGTCGCGCTCGGGACTTCAGCCCCCCGATGCGTCGGTGTGTGTACGAGTCTGATAGAGGCGTAGGACCTCGCATACCCCCTATGCTACAGCGTACGAGAAACGCCCTCACCTGGGCCACCGTTGCGATTGCAACAGATCAACTTTCGCACGTGGTTCGGTATATATCTTGGCAGGGATACGCCCGTTCAAGGGTGGTGACAACCCCTTGGGCAGAGGCAAATTGTACCTCGCATGGCCCTATCCTGTTGTAGGGGTTCGCGAGAGGTATGGCTGGCGCACTCGACCGGAGTGGCGACGGAAGCTCCATTTGCACCGCGATGAAAGGATAAAAGTCATGCCGCAAATCCTGCGTGATGCGGTCGGGAGGGTGCCCCTGCGGTACCGATGCGCTCGACAATGTGGGCGCTCAACACCTCGACCATCCAGTCGATGTGTAGAGATGATTGCCTCCTTGACCAGCACCCCTTTCTTCGGTGCTCCCCTTACCTCCTTGACCAACCCCTCGTGCCAAACAGAAACACCGAGCACTGCCTGCCACCTCTGTTGGGGAACCCGCCACCTCTGTTCGAGAACTGCACTCTGCGACCACTACTGGTCATCCATCCATCCATCCACCCACCTGCCGAACCACCACATCCTGGCAACCCTAACTTTTCCCTGTACCTGTAGACACCCTTTATAGCCCGTTAGGGTCGTCAGCGTTTCCCCATAAAGCCCGCTACATGACAAAAAGGCAATCAGGATAAGCGCTGCCTCCTGGCTGCGAATTTACGGTAGTCCCAGGACCCGAAAGTGGGCCTTGACGGGTACTCCTCCAGCGACTTGGTCCACCTCGAGTTTTGCGCGGTGTCACCCTTGTGTAGGGGCACTCCCGCAGTTTCACGTCGGGCCTCAGCCCACTCTCTGTCTGGCCGCGCTCGACCTGGCCTGACCGCGTGGCGCCCCTCGCGCTGTCCCGCCTGCTTCGGCTCTCGTAGCCCGCAGAGGATGTGGCATGCGTGAGGCTGCCCAAGCTGTTCTTTCTTTCTTACCATTATGATCAACAATTGATGCGTACACCCTTGTGGGTGATCTGTGACCGTGGGAAGTGCTCCCCTGCCTGCGTAGTGTGGGCGAGAGAGACGTGGGTTACTTGGAGTTCTCGTGGAACGTTGTCACTCGCAAGCGACGTAACGAACGGACAAGTGACGCAGCGGAGGGAGGCGGTGGAGGTGAAAAACATTCTGTACGTTCAGCACAGTGTGAGAGGAAGTCCTTGGCGTTGTCCTGCGCTGTTTCTCTCTCGGTTGCTCTTGTTGTGCCCATCAGGATGCTACGTGCCTTTGTACCCAGTCCTCTTTGGTCGAGGTCTTGGGGGCGTTGGCGGGTTTCTAGTAATCAGCTCGCATTGAATCGTCTGAATGCGTAGCTACAGTCATCCATCCATCTTTGCGTACGTTGTTGGTGGGCTGCGTGTCATAACTTCCGCGAAGAAGAAGGAACGGGTTCGTTGATTCCCCCCCTGCTCAGCGCTCGCTTTGCTGTTCACCCGTTATTCACGGCGAGACAGTATTACACGTGTTGCAACAGGGGAAGGCTGGCTGGGGAGAGGGCTGCTTTGGTCAAGGGGCGCGAGAGTATGAGGAGTCGTTAGTCATCGAAAGGCAGCAGTAGTTGTGGCTGTGAGTGAGTTGGAGGCCTGAAGGAGAAGAGCGCGAGAGGGGGGAGAAGGGGGGGGGGGCGGGGCGGTGTTGTGGTGGGGACCACCACTGAAGTTTGTTGTAGGGTTTGTTTTCGCGTTCTATCCAGATGCTCGGGTATGGTTGTTTGACCGCTAAGCCGGGGGGCGTCGACCTGACTGGAGCGTCTTGCGCTTCGTCGTTTCGCCTGCTTTGTCGCGACGCGGCAGACGGGTGGAATCTCCAGCTGTATCCCAATCAAGAGCAGCAGGACGTGGCGCCTGCAGCGATGATGGATCGAGGAGGCTATGAGAGTCGCCCGGAAAAGCGAGCTAGGCTGGATGACACGCGGCAGTGTGCTGAAGAGGTTTGTGTTTAACACTTGCTGACACTGATTATGGTGGGGATGAGAATGATAATTGTGGTAAAATGATGAGGATGACGAGGATGATGATGCCCATCATTATGATGATTCTATTGATTCTTTAGTTATAACGATATTAATGATGATGGTGGTGGTGGTGCTGGTGATGTTAATGGTTGTCACATTGTGGCCCATGTCTTCTAAGGCGACAACTTGTTACTTTCCCGAGTCTGTCGCGGAAAAAAACTGTCTATGCCTTCTCCCTCTCTCTCTCTCTGTGGTATCGTTCTGAAGGTCTGTCCACCTTTTTCCTCCATACCCCTCTCCCTTTCTCTCTTTTCCTGTTTGTCCTAATCCCCTGCGCACCTTTCTGTCTCTCTCCTCTGTCTCTTTGGCTCTATTTCGCTGTTCTATCTCGTGGGTCCCAAGATAATCGTAACTCGGGCTCTGCCTGTGTGTATAGGCACAGCCAGGATATAGTGGCCGTGACGAGTATGCCCCCGTGGCAAGGGGAGGTTGTATACCCGGTGCACCCCCACCAACCGCCATCGCTGCTGGAGTTCATCATCATCATCATCACCAACAGAATCACCATCACCAGAATGGGGCTCGGGGCGCGTCTGCGCCGTGGCGTGAAGACGACAAAGATGGCCATTTTGTTTACGAGCTTGCGGAGAACCTCACCCCTAGATGTAAGAATTATCTTCGCTGCTGGTAATTGCTCTCCAATTATGACACACTCTAAACACGAACTTGGCTCGTCCTGTTTACTTGTCTAATTATTATTATACTTGCAGGCTTTTCGTATCCTTTCCGCTGCCTCCCCCTCTTCCTCACCTCTTTCTCAATTTGATTCTCGCCCATCTAGACTTCCGAACGCGCAACGTTTTTCTTGCGGTTCGCTGTTCTTGTTGTTTTCTTCTTCTTATTATCTGCTTTTGAGAAAAATCCCAGAACACCATGGTGTTGATGATAGTGTACTCACACGCAGCCGTACAATTTGGTTCGTGCTGGCATGAGAAATAGTTTGCGGTTGTGAATCGTGGATTGGTCATCTTGGAATGGTTGTGCTTATGATCGGCTGCCCATATTCGACTGCTATTTTTTTGGTTTCGGTTGGTGGTATTCTTCTTCTTCTTCTTCCATGGGACATTGATTTCAGTATGAACGTCGTGTTACGTGAACTAACAGAGGAATTTCTTATTTTATTACTGTATTTATTTATTTAAGATAACTGTTCTGTGCCGTCGAGTGGGAAGGAGCGTGATGGCTTACTGCTTGACGATGGAGATGGGCCATGCATCGGTTGGGGGCTTAAAACTTATTGATGATGGCGCCACCCTCGACCACCGACAACAACGCACCCTCATTATGATCGTATCAGACCGGAAAGATGGCATGTATACATCCATAATTTGCGGGCGTTGCGGTTGGGGGAAGACGGTATTAAGTAAAGACGTCGAGTCTGTTTGTGTCTGAGGAGCAGTATATGGAAAAGGAAACCGCAAATGAATTTCTCCTTTCTATAAGGAAGGCCAACGCGAAACAAGTGGGGAATGATTTCGTGCGGGCCCCCAGGATATGAAGCTGCACTGCCTCAAAACTTCAGCTGCTACGATATGGGTTTGAACAGGGTGTGCGATGCGATGGTTAGGGTGATGGTTATAGTGGGTATGAACAGGGTGGGTGAAGGTTAGGGTGATGGCAATAGTGCAGTGGTCGCAATGATGATGTTAGTCCCGGTAAGGGTTGTGGCGATTATGAACGGTGGTTGTAGTGATATAGCTTCATTAGCTGAAAAAGTAACAAGGGGGAGAGATCTTGTGAAAGGCTCTACTGGTCCTTGCACCGAGTTATTGGAATTGGCCTCGTTTTCAGGGGAATGTTTTCAGGGAGGGAGAGAAATGTGGAAATAACGGAGAAAAAAAAAATGCTCTGATCGGGGATGCCAATAAGTGATTTCAGTCCTGTCGGGGCTTTCCCGCAAGTGCAGCCGCCGGCTCCGCCCCTTTCCCCCCYCCCGCCTCCCTCCTCCCCCCCCCCTTTCCTTTCCAGAAACAATCTGCGGGGGTTCTTCCCCAGGGGAGAGTATTGGGTTCTTTCCCTGTGGGAAAAGAGGGAAGCGGATGTGAGAATGACATGCTTGAGAATATCGAAGCAAGGGAGCTCGGGCGCGTGTGGAATGTTATTGAGGCTGTGGCTTACTATGTCGCGGCTTTTTTGTACCCGTGGAAAAGAAATGAAGTGATGGTGGTGACCTTGTCGAACGTACCTGTTTGTGAACAACTGGGAATTACTGTGGTGTTTTATTTTCGGTGTGCTTGGTAAATCGGTTTTCGTCTGTATTCGGTAGAAGACGCCTGGCGTGGCTTAAAGAATAGTGCACAGAAAACCGCGAAAAGAAAGCTGCTGCTGTCTTATCTTTGGGTTGATTAATGGGTTAAGTTTGTTGTTTTCCTCACACGATTCGCCGTTCCCTGCTTGTCGGAGGAAATATGTGAGAAAAGGAAAAGGAGGTGCTGCACAGAGTGTGCAAAGACAACGGTTGAGGAATGGTTTTCTCCTAGGGGCTCAGTTGGAATCTTGGGCGATCTGAACGCAAAAACGGGGAATTACGTAAAGAATGAGAAGTAGTATTCTCCGGAATAAAATAAATAGGAACGTCTGAACGTAAAAGCGGAGAAAGTGTTGTTTTGAGAATGAAAGACTAAATAGGAATCTCTGAACGCAAAAGCGGAGAAAGAGTCGTTCCATGAATGAAATAAATTGGAATATCTGAACGCAAAAGCGGGGAGTTGTGTCAAGATTAAAAGTCTTTCCCGAATGAAATAAATGGTAGCATTTGAACGGAAAATCGGAGAAAGAGTCTTTCCCGGAATGAAATAAATGATAATATCTGGCGTGCAGTCGTCGAGTCTTTTACGGTCTTCCCTGCTGATTGTCCGCACCGACGCATTCATTATTGGATACTCGGCGGAGGTTTCAGCATATAGCTAGATTTTGAATGGAAAATCGGAGAAATTATTTTTCCGGGAATGAAACGAGGAGAACATCTGAACGCAAAAGTGGGGAATTGAACTAAATAGGAATAAATGTGTGAACGGAGAAGCGGAGAAAGAGTCCTTTCCCGCAATGAAATGAAAAGCAGAATATGGAATATCTGAACGCAAAAGCGGGGAATTGTCGAAGGAACGAGAATGTCTTTTTCGGAATAAAATAACGAGGAATATGGAATGGTTATGGTGAAGTTTTTTGATTGGTGAAAAGAAAAGCTTATGGTCAAGTAGATCCATGTTATTGCATCGCTCTGGCTTGTTGCAGCTCCGAGGGGGAATTTTTTTTTTTTGGAACGAATAAATTTTTTTTTAATATAATAGTGGGTATCGTTGGATGTATACATGAATAAATTGTTTGATGAGAATGCAACGCACCTGACGTGAGCAAATTGGAATGAAGGGAATTCGACTGTCCATTTTTTTTAAATGAAGGGAATTCGATTGTCCCTTTTTTTAAAAAGGGAGAATTATGCTCACTGGTTGGTCAGAGGACCAGGAATCTGCCGACGGGAGGGGTTTCCCTATTTTGTGTTCGAAATGAAGCACGGCCAAGAATGAAGAATCAACTCTGTGGTGGATGAGGTTTTTTTTTATTTTATTTGTGTTCGAAATGAAGAACGAAGAATGAAGAATCAACTCGCTTGCTACATGCTGTTATTATTATGTTATGCGAGTGGGTGAGTTCACGTCGCTGAAGCGCCGCGCTCCACATCATGAAGGATGTCTGGTGCTTTGAATGGTAGTGATTTTTAGTTTGCCTTTTTTCTTTGAGGGGGAAGTGTTCAAATATGATTAGTGCTGGTTTCAGTAAGTACTTCGTACGAGAATGTGTGTGACGTGCTGGTGTCAGTAAGTACTTTGTACGACAACGTGTGACGTGTTTTTTCCTCCATGTTTCTCGTTCTTCCCTGACGTGCGACTTTTCGCTTTTCGGTTGTTTGGTCACTTTTAAGTAGTGGTTCTTCGTGGATGGGAGTTTAAGCGATTTTCGCGGTTGTGTATTCTCTTTTCGTGGGTGGGATTCTCATGCGTTCCCCAGTTTTTCGTCGGAGAGTTCTTCGATTATTGTGGTGATTGAATTGTTTGCCAGTTTTTTGTACTGCGGAGATTTGGAGACTTGAGTCCTTTCTAACGGAGTATATGATCGATCAAGGAGGACGAAAACATTTTACGGAACAGCGTAGCGATGCTCGGTAAACGTTGGGGCAACGTGGAAAAAGGGGGGGGGTATAGGATAAAAGAAGTATGCAGGGCAGCAGCAGATGTTTTGGCATGGCGAAGTGATGGAGTTGGTGAAGAGTCTGAGTGATGGGTTGCTGACGACTGCTGTTTTGTCTGTGGTCTCTTTGCTGACGTCGGCGCTTCCTGCTCCAGACAAAATACTCAGCAAAATGGGTGAAGGTAAGTCTTGGTGCTGCGTTGTTCTCGAATTTTTCACTCTCCCTACCATCTTTTTAAAGGCGGTGAGTTTTTCGTCTGCATGAAAGAACTGGATTGGATTTCTAAATCTGTTGTCAGTGGATTTTCGGATGTTATGCCGTGCGTGGTTTTTTTTTTTGTTTTCTTTTCTTTACAACGTGCGTGGTCTTTGACGTGCTGGTCTGTATAATAATTTAATTTACGGAGTAGCAAAATTTTCCCACCCGCATCTTGTGGAAAGATATGATGACGATAACAGTAGTCTCATTGTCGTGACTCAAAATGATTTTTTTTTGCTTTCTTGTTTTTTTCAATTATGCTTTTTTTGTCGTAGAAGTGGGTGTAACTACCGTCTTCCCCCGAACATAACATAACGCACCCTAAAAATGAATGTATACAAGCTATGTTTCCGGCCAGATAATGCCAAAATAAGGGTGCGCTGTGTTCGGGGGAAGACGGTAGGAAGAGAATCGCCTCGTGTACCCGGTAGGATTTCGGGGAATGGGTTCAGGAAGATGATATTCGTATTATTGATGTAACAGTAGATGTGCTTGTGAAGACGACGACGACTTTTTCTTGTGAGGGAGGACTAGTGGGAGACTATCAGCCAGAAGGTGTTGTACTTACTGTTTGCATTTGGAGGTTTGCACTCGTAATTGTAAAGGGGTGTGCCCGACGGTTACTTGCGTGTGGGGTGGGCTCAACGGTTTAATGATGGGTGTTTGATTTATTACCGACCCCCGGAGCTGTTCTTGGAATGCTGGAAAAATGATGGGTGTTTGATTTATTACCGAACCCCGGAGCTGTTCTTGGAATGCTGGAAAACGTCGAAGGGCAGGATTTTTTGGTTTTTTTTTTTTTGTTTGTTAGATGACCGGGCGAGTTTGGCCGTGTGCTCGTTTTGTTAACGATACCCGTTAGGTGATTTTGCTATGTGCCCTCAATCGTACGGAAATCGCTAGCGGGGAACGGTTTGGGCTATACGAGCAGTTTTGTGATACCAACTTTGTGCGCCGTTCTTAGTCGTTGGATATTGTGGGAGTTTAGTCTAGGAAGGCGGCAATGTGGATGTGCGTAGATGTGCGTAGTGGATTGGAACTCGGTGTGTACGTACTTCGCGGTTAAAGTCGTTGTGGCGTCCTGCGTGGCTGCCACCGATCGCTTGGTTTCTCTCTTTCGTTTGTCCGTTGTTGCGTTTTTCCCTCGGCCTTGCTAGCGAGTCTATATCACTCGTCCTTTTTTTCTTTTTTTTTCTCGTTTCGTTTTTTCAGTAGTAGGGCGTCGTCGTTGAGGTATCGTCATTTTGAGCTGGGCCCCCGCGGACGTAAATTCAGACTGATTTATCTGATTCCATCGCTGGACTTCGAACGCAGGGTTGTATTTTAACAGTTGATAGGTGTACCAGCATAGCTACCTTCTTCCCCCGAATACAACGTACTGTCATTACAGCTGTATTTGAGGCATCTTTCTGTCTAGATGCAGCAGCCTTGATGACCGTACGGTGTATTCGGGGGAAGAAGGTAGGTCGATTGATTCCGTACCGTGCGCTTTTTTCCCTATGTTTTGCGTTTGGCACTTCGTCGTTGCTTTCGCTATCGTAGTATCGTAGTATTTGTTTCTGCCTCGATAGTAATTATTGCCTCCGTGTGCCTCGTTGCTATCGTATGGTGTGGATTGTCTTTTCTGAGTGTTGCCACACGTGCGCGTGCTCTCCATTACGTTTATTTCTTTTCCATTATTGTTACGTCCCGTCCATCGTTGGCCTAGTATCTGTACTAGCTTGTATATCATTCACTTGTCAGAGTCGAGAGTATTTGGGGAACCGCGAGTTTGTCGTTATTTGCGTGTCTAGACGTATGGGATCTATGGTAAGTGTGGTTTACGTGACGTGATCGTTGCTGCTAGGTAGTTCGATTGGTGGGTCCGTACTGTGCCCCCGTAAAAAAAATTAAAACCAAACGAACAAAATTACGTCCGCTAAATGGAAAAGAAAACTACGTCCTTAAACATGACTCGCAGACCGCGCTACAAGGACATTAGTTCAATAATGCAGGGTGGGAGGGAGAGAGGTCCTCCCTTTTCCATTACCATCTTCCCTAGAAGACAATGCACTATCATTATGGTTGTACCTGACTGGAAAGACGGTATTTTATTTGTTATTTTACTGATGTCTCTTGTATTTTATTTGTTATTTTACTGATGTCCCTTGTAACGCGGTCTGTGAGTCATGTCAGACGACGTAGTTTTGCTTGTTTGGTTTCTTAATCCTTTTTTGCGAAGGAACAGTATGGAAATGCACGTATTCTTCATGCTTCGCGCTTTGTCCATTTTTGTTTGAATTGGTGGGTTTGGGGTATTTGTCAATTTTTGTTTCAATTGGTGGGGTATTTGTCAATTTTTGTTTTAATTGGTGGGTTTGGGGTATATCATCCGCCAGTGGTGATTACGTTGCTGCTGCTCGTCTTCGCCGTTGCAATCGTAACGCTGTCTTCGAGGCAGGCTTTTTGTCCTTAGTCGCTGATGATAGTCGGATAGTTTCTCCTGACTTTTCCCCCCTGATTTCGATCTGCTGCTGCTCGTACTGTGGAAGAGCTGTTTCTTTTGTAAGCCGTTGGTTTAGTGAATCGTTGGGTTTGCTCGTGGTGTAGGTGGTTCCTGAGTCGGGCTTTGTTGGTCATCCGTCGGTGATAGTCTGAGCATTTCTTGTGCCTTGATTCCCCTGTCCGCGTCCTGCTGCTGCTGGGGGGAGTTGCTAGAATAGAGGCTCCCATGTCCCAAGACGAAAAACAGAAACTCGGTTTTTCTTGTACATTAGTCGAGTGCGAGATCCAACGTCTCTTCTTGCGTCGACTCGCTAAAGTCAGGCCTTCGACTGTGAAAGAGCTGTTTATTTAGTGTTTGTTCCGCGAGTTGTTATTTAGGTTCTGTAGGCATTCTTATCGCCAGGAGTAACTGGGTTATCTGAACTATTTGTTGCTCACGGCAATTGGTGTTCGGTATCATGGGTTAGTATTATGGGTGACGTGTTCGTCCGTTCTGTTTGCTACCCCTCTGATCACACTTTATATGCCGTGTTTTCTTCCTTTAGCAGGCTCCCTTCGCTGCGGCGAATGTGGGGACCACTTGTCCTGTAATGTTTTCGTGTCGCACGCACGGCTATTAACAGATGGTGCGTGCTTACGTCGTGTTCTAGGATGCTCGTCCGGGGGCCCGTATTCCTGCTGCCGTCTCTGTCGGTCAGTCTCTGCCATCCCGTTGTCATCCATTTGTAACTGCTACCGTCTTCCTGCGAACGCAACGCACCCTCGTTTTTTCACTGCATCGGACTGGAAACATACCTTGTATACGTTCATTTTCAGGGTGCGTTATGTTCGGGGGAAGACGGTAGGGCGCGTTGATGAGCATGCGTGAAGGTTGTCGCGGTATACGGCGGTACCAGCCGCACGATTTCGCACACAGGGTGTGGTGGTGCCGTCGATTTGCTGGATTCAGTTGCCCGCGGGTTCCGCCTTACGCCATGTCGGATGTGTCTTGGGTTCGGTTTGCTGTTAGTGATTGTGTTCGTTTTTGTGGTTTCGTGTTATTCCCAAGTTTATTACATTTTCTTTCTTTGTGTTTCTTTCGAGCGATGTACGTTTCATTTTTTGTTTTTCTATCTCGAGCGATTATCCCGTTCGTCGTCGTGTCTAGCTTGCTTTACCTTTATACTTTCTCTCTCGTGGCACGTGTGTTCCTTTCAATTTGAATGGTCTCCGTGCACAGAGCAAATATTCCAAGTTTTTATTACGTTTCTTTCTTTGTGTTTCTTTCGAACGATGTACATTTCATTTTTTGTGTTTCTATCTCGAGCGATTGTCCCTTTCGTCGTCGTGTCTAGCTGGCTTTACGTTTATACTCTCGCTGTCGTGGCTATCGTGTATTCCCATTCAATTTTGAATGGTCTCCGTGCACAGAGCAAATGGAACGAGAAAGCTTGTTGCTCGAATCGTAATTGCTTTCGCTGCTACCGCCGTTTTCAACTCTCCTGTGTTGCGGCTAAGTACCTCCAGCACAGCTTTTCTGGCTTCAAGCAAGCGCCGGCCGCTCTCTGTAACGCTAGGGTTTCTCTTTATGGCCTTGTTGAAGTCTCTCCGTTATACGCACATAGTTATTTCTTGTTATGCGCAACTGAGGTGGTGACGACCATAACAGGAGGGAGCCTTTCGCAAGTCTCGAAAGAACGAGGTTTTTGTCGTTTAGCTTCCGTCTAGTTTTTGTCTTTCGTTGTTCAGTCAAACAAACAAGGTGCGTACGATCACAACATAGTAGGAGGGACCCTTTTTGTCGTTTAGCTGCTTTTGTCGTGTAGCGTTTGTCGTGTACCGTCCGTGCATACTAGCGGATAGGTTCCGAATGTCTGTTGCTCGGTTTATGAAAAGGCAGAAAATCGGTAGGAGGCAACACTTTTCAGGGCTGTAGAGGGGAGGCTGTGTTATAAGGAGGGTGGTTTTGAGAGCTTTACAAGTTTAAAGGGGGAAAAATGCGAATGGGAAGACAGGTTCTTTCAGACATCGGAACTGTATTGTCAGTTTTTTTTCAGTCTACGTATTTTCCTTTGCGCTTGTGCGGGAGTATAACTTCGGTACGAGACGGAGTCGTTTGGCACCTCATCATCTTGGGGTACTAATTACACAGTATAAGGTGTAGGCGTGAAACTGGGTATGTGCTGGGGACCAAATGAAAAAAATGTCGGTGCAGACACACATGTGTTGGCTTCTTTAGGTGTGTCGATCAATTTGACGGTTTTGTTCGTTTTCCTTTACTTCTTGGAGGGTTGAGTATGGCATTTCTTGTAGAAAGACGGAGTTGTTTGGCACCTCATCATCTTGGGGTACTACTTACACAGTATAAGGTGTAGGCGCGCAGCTGGATATATGCTGGGAACTCCGGGTATCGTACCAAATAAAAAAAATGTCGGTGCAGACATACATGTGTTGGCTTCGTTAGGTGTGTCAATCAATTTTACGGTTTTGTTCGTTTCCATTTACTTCTGGGTGTGTTGAGCACTACGGTTCTGCTTCGTTTCTTTTGAACGTTTGATTATCGAGTGTGGTCGTCGGTTGTGGGATTGGCAGTAGAGCAGTAGGTGGGTGGAGGGCAACATGTCGGTAATGGTCTGATATTATGCTCCACGTCTTGTATAGAAAGAACTCTGTGGTCATATTTGGTCATATTGACTTCAGGTGGGTCATTTACATTTGTTGTCTTTTTTTCCCTGGTCGTTGGTTCGTTATGGCGGTAGTTTGCAATCATTCTCATTCTCATTCTAGTCCGTAAACGACTGAACTTTGAATCACTATGTGCTCTCATTCTAGTCCGTAGAATGGTGTAGAAATAGACAGCTCTCTTCAATGAAACGACTGAACTTTGAATCACTAAATGCTGTCATTCTAGTCCGTAGAATGATGTAGAAATAGACAGCTCTCTTCAATGAAACGAGTGAACTTTGAATCACTAAATGCTTTATGAGAATGGTTGGTAAGAAGGGTAGGACGAACAAGACGAGGACATGTGTGGATGGAGGAAGACGGGTATACTGCGTTTGGTTGTTTTCGGGAAAATTGCGTGGCCAGAGAGAGGGTTCTGTCTGCTTCGCGTTCTTTTTTTTTTGTTCTTCTGTTCAATTAATTTTCCTTATATTGTTTTCTTTCTTTAAGTTTTTGTTTGCGGGTGTGGGCTTAAATGAGATGGTGCTTGATTGGCCTCTCAAGAACGTTGAACAAGTTGCAAGACGACGGTCGAGACGATATTTTGCTTGCTGCTGTGTCTTTTCTTTTCTGTTTGCAGTCACATTCTCTCCCCCGTTTTTGCCCTGCCTTTTTCACTCGAATAGAACGCCCGGTCAGTATGCCTGTGACTGTCAGACTAGATACAGCGATAATGCCTGGGCGATCTATCCGGTTGAAGACGGTAGGGCATTTTCTGTCAGTCCCATGAGCACATCCTCCCCCGGCCCCCCCCCCCCCCTTTTCTTTTCCCCTCTTTGTGTAATCTGTATCCATCTGCTGCTGCTGCTTTCTCTCTCTCTCTCTCTCTCTCTCGAACTCCTTGTTGTTTGTGTCCTGGTGCATCTAGTCGATTTGCCTTGGTCGCTTTCTGTCTCGCTTTGGTGGCTGGTAGTATTTGTTTGTCATATGGTGGGGGCACGTCGGGATCTTGCAGGAACGTTTGGGCGTGTATTGGAATGCTGGGATCGCGAAAAGCAGGAGTTTGTGGCCGTCAAAGTGATCAGGAATGTGCCGAAGTATCGGGACGCTGCCATGATTGAAATAGATGTGCTCCACACGCTTGCCAAACATGACAAGACGGGTTCACGGTCCGTTAATAGCAGGCATCTTCTTTTAGCCCCCTGATACACAACTTTGATTGGCATGGCATGGCTTGATTAGCCCAGTAGTGGCTGAGATATGGCCCGTCTCTGCATGGTTGCTTTCTTGATATGATTGTCAATGAATGCTGAACATATATATGACGATATATATATAGATAGATAGTTATAGTTGTATGTAAATGCTCAAACCTTGTTCCCATTGCTTGTCCTGAGCTGAGCTGGTGCTCGTCTTCTGATCTGTTTCCTAGAGAAACTTCTCTGAATAGACTGATCTACCTACCTATATACTCTACTGTGATCGTAGCTTCCTGCCTGTTTCCCTCTTTGGCACCGGAAGCAGGCCACATTTCCTGGACCCCGTTGGCTCTTGGCTGGCGGATGTTTTATTTTTATCGTTAATATTCCCCTCGTGTGACTGTTGTTCTCACAGTTAGGTCTTCTGTGATTGTGTACCCTTTCGTTGCAATTCATTTCCTCCACCTTCTCCTCCTCCTCCTCCTCCTCACACAGCTATTCTCACGTTCATGGTCTCTCTCTTCCTGACCTCTCTATTTGTATGGGCGATGGCACTCTCTAGAAAGGTCTCCCGCTGGTCTACCCATTATCCCCCTCTCAAATGCTTTCACACCTGTCAATCTATCTATATATATATATATGTGTGCTTTGTGCGAACTGAGAAATGCATGGTTTTCCTCTTTTTTCTCCTCCGATTGTGATGATGTTACCCCTTTCTGACGGTTGACCGATTGTTTTCGGTTATTGCAGGGGTTGCGTGCAGCTGAAGCATTGGTTCGACTACCGCAATCATGTCTGCATGGTACGTGTTACACTTCGCTTGTTACACTTCGCTTCTCTCAGCTTTTTGGGTTGAGAAGGTTGATTGTTTTTGGACTAGAAGATGAGATGGTTTATGGTTTCTGGTAGAGAAGAGAACCACAGTTTTCAGGTTTCTGCCTGTTCAAGTTCCCGCCTGTTCAAGTGTGAAGTGTCAAAAGGATAGTGGTGTGTGTGTGTGTGTGTGTGTGTGTGTGTGAGAGAGAGAGAGAGAGAGCGGGTTTGGTTGGACGGACTTGCTGTTATCGTTGAACCCAAACAAAGGAAAAGTAACATGGAAAGAGAGCCCGCTGTTCAAGTTTAAAGTGTCAAAAGGATAGTGGTGTGTCTGTGTGTGTGTGTGTGTGAGAGAGAGAGAGAGAGAGAGCCGGTTTGGTTGGACTGACTTGCTGTTATCGTTGAACCCAAACGAAGGAAAAATAATGTGGAAAGAAAGCCCCGTCCGTTTGAAGGATTGCGTGATACCTCCTTACGCACTAAGGGTGGGATGTGCTGGCAAGGTAATTAATGTGAATTCATTTCACAAAGAACAGGCCAGTTGCTAACCAACTGCACTTAGGTCGCCACACCCCTCGTGATCTTTGCTGTTGTTTGCAAAAATTCCATGCCTTTCGCTGGTGGAGCTGCAACAGAAAATCTTAGGCCTCCCAGTTTGGCTTTACCATTGTGAATTGATTTTACAGCAGTCGAGTTCCCCTGAGTTTCTGGTATGCTGTCAATGCAGATTCGATTTGTCGTACTGTGTTATTCCTTCTTTTGGTCTCTCTGACTATGGATGTTAGCCATTTGGCAGCCTTGTCTTTTGGAGATTCCAGCCTTCAGCCTTATGACTTACGCCTGAATGCCGTAGGGCGAGTCTTTGTGGAGCCTCGGTCATGAACTTAAACAACGTATACAATATGCTGCTTTTCCAATCTTTGTGCACGTAGCTTACTTTTGAAGTGAAGAAGGGGTTTGGTGTTAGGGAACTTTTTAATGGGGGTTCTCATTGTGAGTTGTTGTCAAGTCACCTGTCCCGCAAATGAATATCAATAGATGGATAGTCAGCTCCCATACGGCAGTATCTGCCGATTTGGACCTTGCCACGGAGTTTCAATGGCAGGCAGGAAGTATAACAAAGTGTCCGTTCGCGCGTACATCTGTGCTTCCGGGTTGGTGAAAGTATTTGGTGAACGATGAAGAGACAAGTCTTGCTTCGAGTAAAAGGGGCATGGCTTTTGGATTATCTTCTTTTTCAGTCTGAAAAAATTCTCTCTCTGAGAGGTGGCAGCGGTGTAGACGCTTGCCTCTGCTGGGTAATGCATGATTCCTTAGATTGTGGCATGCCCAATGATGACTCTATCTCGAAAATGAGGGAGAGGAGGGCAAATCTCATGTGGACAATGTACATGGTGTGCCCATGGCAGTCCGTTCTTTAAGGCTCGCTGAAGAGCCGTCGAGTGCATGGCAAGGCATGAAGTATCAAGTCATGGAGGGGTGAAAGAGGAGAGGGGGGGGCGGGTGTTGAATTCGACTTGTAGTTGTTGGAAATGAATTGTGGATGCTTTGTTAGGTGCAGCAACGAATTGCTCAGTCATCAGGACACCTCAGACTTGTGATCTCTCATAGGAAGGGGTGGACGGTTTGAACATTTGGATATGTCATGTAATAAGAATTCTTTGGGGGCCCAGGGAGACAATGTGAATGCCTCTGTCGTTTAAGAAGAAGACTTCTTTGGGACCCCAGGGAAGCAATGTGAATGATGAAGTAGAAGACGCAGATGATTACTGAGAAATAGTTGCTATAGCGTGGTGTGCTTTTAAAATGGGTAATATGTTTGTGACGTGTTTTTTTGGGGTATGCTAACTTCCCTTTTTTTCTGTTTCTGCAGCAAAACGTAGGGGTTCTCTGCCGTGAACTTTTGTGAAAATCCATTTGTATGGGAATCATATGTCTCACTGAGGGTTGTTTTCAACAATGGCCCATGGAACCCTGTCTATGTTTTTGAGAGAAGTTGGATCGATCTTGGCGCCGTGTTTCCCCTGTATGGGTTTTGTCAAGTGCAAATTGCAGGTTAGGGGCCTAGATTTTGGCGCCATGTTTCCCCTGTAGGGAGATTCGAGGTGTCTTATGATGGTTTGTCTCATGTTGTATTTGCTGACTGGCTATGTGGCAGGTCTTCGAACGGCTCGGTCCGAGTTTGTATGATTTTCTGAGAAAGAATAACTATCGGCCGTTCGCTATTGATCTTGTCCGTGACTTTGGTGTTCAACTTCTGGAGGCCGTTGCGTGTAAGTGCGCCTGCTTTTCATTCACCCAAAGAGATATGGCAGTTGGGTGCCTCATTTCCGACCCCATGATGGTTGTGTGAGTGTAGTGAATGGGTTGTTCAGTTTTGGGTCCTTGCACTTGTGGGTGGCTGTTTGCGATGAGATTTACCTTTTTCTTTCTTTGTCTTCTTCTTGTATGTTCTTAGCATTCCTGGTGCTGAGGTTGAAGAATCTGTTGGTGCTGGTGGTAGTCGAATCTGTCGATGCTGGTGTCGTTGTGCGTTGCCGATTTTGCTTCTTGCCTTGTTATGTTTAATCCACTGCAGTACTTCTTAGAGTCGTGCCCGCTAATGCGCCACGTTTTAGGAAACGTACGGGCAACTACAGGAGTGCCCAAATTCATCCGACTAGAAAAGCGTTTCTACTCTTTTTTTTTTTTGCGGCCGATAGCTGGGGCAAGTACTGGTGGTTTAAGAGCTCCTTACTGTTTGTGTGATAGTCGAGCGTTCTTTCATGAAGTTGCTTGCAATGAATCTGGATAGAAAATTGCCGAGACATGGTTCCTTTTGAGATGCACTTTGCTTGTTTTCTATTTTCTTTCCTTTTTCTTCATAAAGGCTACTGCCTCGAGATATAATCATGCAACTGACCTGCGCGCTATGTATTCCGAGTTGTAGAATTTTGCTCGTGTAATCAGGGTGCACTACCGATTTCAGTTTTAAAATGCACCTCAGGCATCCTTTGAATACAACACATCCCCACCCGACCCTAAAGCGAGGTTGTATACATTCACGATTTTCCTTGCTTCGGTCATCATTTGCGAAATCGTGACTGAAACACATTTCCAAACTGAAACTGGTGACTGCATCCCAGTTTGCCCTTTACTATTGTTTTAACCCGAATAAACCGCCCGCTCATTATTGCTGCATCTGGACTGAAAGTTGTGCCAAATGCAGCTATATTGACCGAGTGTTCTATTTGGGTGAAGACGGTAATTTTTTGTTTTCCCAGTGGAGTTTGAACTCGTGCCAGTATTTTGACAGTTCGGTGGTGTACCAAGTGAGCCGGGCCAGTTGGTTAGCCCTTTCTTTCCCCTTCGGGGGACATCTGTCAAAATTGGAAGGATGCATAGAGGACACTCCACATATTGTGTAGGTTTTGTTTACGATTCATTTTTTCTGTGGAAAAATAGTCTCCAGTGGTTGCTCTGCTGCGGGTGTTCAGATTCTCTAATCCTACCCTTTGCATGGTTGGATTCATCTCCTTCTTGGGCGCTCTGCCCAAAGCCCCCTCAGTTAGGTTGGTGACTTCAGTGTTGGCGTAATCTTAGAATCAAAGAAAATGGCTGACCTTTTAAATAGCTGAACAGTTAAAATGTGAAGGTGCTTGTACATTTGTGTTGATGGAATTCATTGGGTTTGCCGAATGTGAAACGGTGGAATGTCGAGTCCGATAGCCTGTACTTTGGTGTCAAGTATTCTTGGTTGTCCTGTCTGAATGATTTTGAATTGGCCTCGATTAACTTGTGTCTTGTTCACTGCAGTTATGCATGACCTCTCTCTTATTCACACCGATCTGAAGCCGGAGAACATTCTCCTCGTATCGTCAGAGTATGCCAAGTACCCAGAACCGAAGGTGTGTACTTTGCCTGATTTGGTCTCTTTGCTTAGCATTTGTTCTGAAATGCGTTGAATCCGCCTTTACGGAATGGTTTGCTAAAAGCAGCAGGAACAAGCATCGCTCCGATGGAAAGGGAATGTTTGAGGAAATGGTGTGATCATTGCTAGTGTGTACCTGAACTGGGGTTGGTGATATATGATGCTCTATCACTTGTGCAAAGATTTGAGTCGTTTTGCTTGGACTATGTTTCGACTATATGTTTTGTCTATGGGAGGTATTATTATACTATTATCATAGTATTATGTATTTAGCTCATCTTGCACTTTTCACAGGTTACTTGTGCCTTTTTTGGCAGGAATTTGCTCACTCTGAAGGAGATTCATGTTGTTCCTAGGGTACATCAGCGGTGTCGTGAATGATGAGAAGTGCTTCCATGTTGTCCGCCTTCAGCTTTTCGGGTGGAAATACTTTGTTTGCAGGATAGAGATCACATGCGTGTGTTTTGATCTGCAACGTTTTCTTCCATTTTTCTTGTACGAGTAAGGAAATGCCTTTTTCCCTTGTGCGGACATGGCGAGGATCGTATTGTCGGGTCTTGCTTTTGGAGTCCGGGCGCTGTTAATGGAGGTTTGAAGTATAGTGTTCGAAAGATGGTTTGTTATGCGTCTCGGTGGACTGCTCTGTGTTAAGGGAAAAACCAATGAAAGATGTGGGTTTGCATTGCAGAGTGTGGGTGCGGTTGGTGATGAACATGCTGTTTGGGTTGTGAGCTGGAGCATGTGGATGTTTTTTGGGTGTCTTTGCAAGTCGTTGTTGGCCCGTTTTCCCATTCATTGCACTTTTGACCCTTGTTGGCCCGTTGTTGCCTGATGGTCTGCCCTTCTCTCTGTTGTTGGAGCAGGCATCACAACCTGGAAAGCACTTTCGCCGTGTGCCACTCTCCAGTGAAATCAAATTGATAGACTTTGGAAGCGCAACGTTTGACAGCCATTACCATTGCTCGGTAGTCTCCACACGGCACTACAGGGCGCCCGAGGTTATCCTAGGTAAGTAGCTGCGTGGATGATTGGTCCTGGTCCATCTTACTGGATTGATTCCATTCATCGTTTTGTTACGATGATGATGATTTTGTATCCAGCTCTTGCCCGTTCTGCGGCAGCATTTGTGAAACCTTCAAGTGTGTTGTCGTTTTCGTGTGGTTTGAGCTTATCCTGTGCGTAGCCTGAGCGTTATTCTTTCAAAGAATTTTCAGTTGCTTGTTCATGTGTGACAAGTCTGTTATTCAATTAGGATGCATGTGTGTGCAGCTCTGCACTTGTCGACCATGGATTTATTTTCTGGGTGGGTAGTGACGTGTAAGTGCGTTGACCACGTTGTAGATGGGGAAATCCTGTTTGTATAAGCGCGGTGGTCATTACCAGGCCAGTGTGTTGATGACGTTGTGGATGGGTGAACCCTGTATTTACTGGTTTGATAAGTGAAATGTACCCAAGTCCAGGGCCTTATGTAAGGTAATATGTCAGTGCAGACAAGTCTTTTCAATTTTGTGTGGAGGGACTTATGCATGGCTTCTTCAAGCAAGGTGGGGTCTGTCTTGTTAGGGATATTGTGAAGGTCCTGAAATGGTGGTAGTCGCTGAATTGATTGTCGTGTCGAGGCATTGTTTAGGTTGAACTGGTTGTGCTGCCTGTGTACCTGTCTGCATTTCTTATCGTGCGGGGGGGGGGGGGGGGAAGGGGCGTGCCTGTAACCCTTCATATTGTTTTTCCTGCCTTTCTGAATTGTTTTGTTGCAGGATTGGGGTGGACATACCCATGTGATCTCTGGAGTGTCGGGTGTATTTTGGTGGAGCTGGTTACGGTAATTTCTCCAATGCAATTTTCCTGGATGGCTGATACTTCACATCTTCATTGCCATAGCAACTCGCCGGACCATGTTGGTCCTTTCCTTTTGCTGCCCTAATAAGCGTAGAAAGTTACTAGAAATTTATCTTCTATTTCCGTTTTCAACAGCTCGCTGATATGAGGATGCAAATAGCTCAAAAAGGAAAAAGGATGCAGATAGTCCATGGAAAGACGAAAGAGAAGCCCAGGGATTGCGATTGGATATAAATCGTTTTATCCTGACACGTCAGTGGGACAGTGAAACGATCATGTATAATATTTTGTATGATGATTGTGATGTTTATTAACGTTTTTTTTTGCGGTTTCTTGAGCAGTGAAAATTTTCATTGATTGAAGCTGTGTTGATTTGTTTCATACGTATGTGGCGACAAAAAACTTTCTGCAAGACTGGGGCCGTGTATTAGCGGTTTAAACAGTAACAAGTACACAGTACCAGCCAACTTCAGAACCAATGGCTCACTCCTAAAATTTTGGAGCCTCGGGGCTGCCAGGCATTGTGCTGGCGCTTTGTTGTACGAGTTTGGTGCGCATGTCTTTTCCCCATTGGCAAAGAGAGGCTCGGAGGTAGATGTGACTAAGCTGCTGTCTGTGTGTGTGTGTGCTGCGCGTCAGCTCGGGGCTACCGTACCACAATGGCTGTCGGCGCCAGGCATTGCGCTGGCGCTTTGTTGTATGAGCTCGGTGCGCATGTCTTTTCACCATTGGCAAAGAGAGGCTCGGAGGTAGATGTGACTAAGCTGCTGTCTGTGTGTGTGTGTGTGTGTGTGTGTGTGTGCTGTGCCTGATGGCTTTTGCTGATCTCGCTGTGATTTCAGGGTGATGCTCTGTTCCAGACACATGAGAATCTTGAACATCTTGCCATGATGGAAAGGGTGCTGGATCGGATTCCTGTACACATGATCAAGAAGGCAGAGTACGTGTTTCGCCCTCACGGATCTTTTTTCAATGTCATTGCATTCCGAGTCGGCTTCCCATTGTGATGCAATGTGTCTGGAAATGGGCAGCCATTCGTAACTTACTCTTAAAAATGCTCTGTAATTAGCCAGCTGATAATCCCTTGTTTGAAACAGACAAAAACGAACGATGTGTGTACTACGATGTGTGTACTATCTATCTGTTGCCTTGTCACAGTGTGGAATTATTCGTGGCTTCTTTTAGTGGAGTTGTCTGCGTAAGGATGCTGCAATAGAGTCTGAGTATGGCACTCTTTCACGAAGGAGGCTCTCGTGTCCTTGATTGAAATAGTGGGAATGGTATATAAGAGGAGCTGCCTCTTGCCCGTTGCTGAACCCATGTCACAGTAGGACTCGAAGAATATGTTGATGTTTGTGGACTTTCATGAGGGAATTCAGTTAATGGGTGTGGTGCTTGAATTGGAGGGAATGGTAGAAAATGGGTTCCCCCTTGCCGACCTTTCCTTCCCTACTTTTCACCTTGACACTTTTCTTCTGCGTGAGTGATTTGTTAACGGCCATGCTCGAGGATCTTCAAATGCATGCAATGCTGAGTCTGTGCAGTCCATGATGCCATGCGTACCGTCTTCCCCGAACACAATGTACCCTAGTAATGAATGTACAAAACCGATCATGTATCTCAGTATTAGCCATACATGCAAGCGCACGTCGTGCGGGCGTTTCCCTACGTGCTGAGCACTCGGCCAGCCGATCCCGTGCGGCGCATGACGTGTGCGGAGAACGACCCGTCACCACCCTCAGAAAAAAAAGGCGGGGTCGAAACGGTGCGTTTGAGGGCCCCCGCCAAAATTATAAGCGAGATGAAAAAAAAATTACAGGAGTACTGCCTCGCCTTGCTCCTCCTCCCCTTCCTCACCCTCCATTTCTCCTCCCTTCTCCTTCTCGTCTCCTCCTCCTTCCCTTCCTCCATCCTCCTTGTCTCCTCCTCCTCGTACTTGCTCGTCTTCCATGCCTCCTCGTCTCCTTCCCTTCCTCGTGTCCTCCCCTTCCTCGCCGTCGATGTCTCCTCCTCCCACTCGTCCTCCTCCTCCTGCCCTTCTTCTTTTCCCTCCGTCCATCTCTTCTCCTTCTCTCGACTCCTCCTCGTTGTCCTCGTCCACATCCTCTTCCTCCTCTCCATATCCCCCTCTCCTTGCCATATCTCCGTCTTCCTGTCATATGCCCCCTGTTCCCCCTCCCAAAAAAAGATAAAATAATGATAATAAAAAATAGAAAACCTGCAGGATTCTGCATAGGCGCCCCCCGCACGGAACTCCACACGAATGTGCGGCTCGTGCGGTTGTAAGTATGGTATTAGCTGATCTGATATGGTTTTGAGGAGTGCGCATTGTGTTACGGGAAAGACAGCAGCAGAGTGTTTATTGTATGTTCTCTCTGGGCCTGTTGCCGACGTCCAATTTTGTGTCGGCAGCAAATTGTGGAAGGCTGGTTTGGAAAGTGGCTTGTGAAGGATCATCGCTTGTGTTCTCGATCACCAGTCGTCTCTACATATATATCTATCGCTAAGTTCCTGACTGTTACAAGCGGACAATCGGGGCCGTCCGAATTTTTGCTGCGCGAGGGTCCCGGTCATCTGCTGATCGTTTTTTCGTAGAAGTTGAAGCGTCACCATCTTGTATATGTACATTTGATGTGTTTTCCATTTTTTTTCGGCCGGATTGTGCCATGCGCTGGCGATTATGCTGGCCACAGCAGAAATGTGCCCTGTACGTTTATTTCTGGGAACGAACTGGCTCGAGGTTGGCCTTCAGTCCGTGTGTATTGGCGTGTGTATTGGCATTGTACATTCTTTAGGATGTTGATTGGCAGTCACCCAGACACGTGATTATGCTAGACACTGCCAAATTAAAAAAAAGAATGGTGCGTATTTGAAAATGAATGTGCTTGAAGCGTGTCACAAATAGAACGCCTGGAGATGTTGATGTTGTGACGGAGTTTTTAAAGCATGCCCGAAGATGTTGATGCTGTGGAGGTGTATTGGCTACACTGGTTGGGAGGGAGTAAATGGCTGGTTATTATAACCGAATTTTTAGCAACTCAGTCTACAATGACCGGGCGTAATGACCGTGGGTTGTATTTGGGTGAAGATGTTAGTAGGTGCTTTGGCTGACAGTGGGGCAAAATGCTTGTTGACACGAGTTCCTGGAATGCATGAGCTGTATTTGACGAAAGCGAATGTTTTATTGACGTTTGTACAATCAGCCGACGAAGTGAGAAGTACTTCCGGCAGGGGAAAGAGCTTAATTGGCCTGAAGGAGCAGTCTCCAGGGAGAGCATTCGAGCTGTGAAGAGGTTACCTAGACTTAAGGTATGGACGTTGTTCCACAGGGCAGGGCCCGCTGCGAATGCTTTAGGGAAAATGCAGGTCCCCTATCTTTTTATGCGGTCTTTGATTTCTGATGTGAGTATCGGTATTCTTGTTCAGCTAGTGGACTCCCATTGGCGTTTGCTGCCATGTTTTCTTAAGGAGACGACCGTGCAGTGTGCAGTTTGCAATGCGCCTCTTAGGACTCTCCGGACCGTGCAGTTTGATATTTGGCTTGATATTGACGATATGCCCTCTTGTATCTGTATTTTTGCGACTTCCCGTCGGAGAAGGAACTGCTGGTGACGCTTCTCTGTATGTATAAAGTCCTTTTTTTATCAAATGAAGAAAAAATGCTTCACGTCTTCCGGGACATGCTGTTAAAACGGGAATGATTAAAAAAAAGATCTATACAGAGAAGATTAGCATGGTGACGATATGCCTTCTGGAATAGATAAAGTCCTTTTGATTTATTATCAAATAATAAATAAGAACCCTCATTTATACTCCCCTTTCCCCCCCCCCCCCC